GGGAAATTTGCGTTGGGTTACAACCAACTCGGGATACGCCCAGAGTCACGGAACGCATTAAGTTCGTATCCCGAGGTACCACTGTATCACTGTTATTGTTGATTGTTATTTTATTTCAAGGTTTGGGGGGGCGCTGTATGCCATCCAGAGTCACACTGTTCAAGTTGGGCAGCCATATAAAATTTAACCACAATGAATCTGTTCTCCAGTCCAGGGTTTTTCAAACTTTTTCAGGCCATGGAATCTTTTTAAAAAAAATCTCAGAATCCCTGATCAAAAGGCAAAACTCTAATAATAGAAAACTATCTGCCTTTGAGTGACCTTTTTTTTGTCCTGGGTCTCTCATGAAAGCTCATCAGATTTTAGGGTTCCATTGAAAGCTGTGTTTTCAGAGTCCACAATATTAAGCCTCTGCAGCAAAGGACATTTCCCAACATTATTTTGTACATACCTCCTCTAGTGTTTTGTGCCAGGGATACATGTGAAGCAAATGTTAAACTAACTATTGGGAGGTATAAGGATTTAAAAAAAAATCTTATGAAACATGTTACATTTCATAGCATGTGAAATATATGTCTATTTTGGTCCTTGAGTGATGGCCAAGAAATCTTCAACTTTGGTTTCCTCATCTTGTGGATAGAAATATACCAGTAATCAGTAAACATAGGGGGGCAAGAGGGGACAAGTGACAAAATGTGTGTTGCAGCTTTGCAACACAACTTCACCCCCCACGTACCTGCATGCAATGTGGCAAAAAAGGGCCAAACGTGCATCTGACATCACAACAAAGCATTTAGTCATTTTGTTGTCATGGCTCACTATGGATTCTTCTCCCTGTAAAAATATTTAGTGTATTAGTTTTTAGAATGCAGGGGAAATGGAGGAATGCAGTGAGTTTATAGGACATGGTAAAACAGGAATAAGGATTTTCTTTCATTCATTCCTCAAGAAAGCACTGATGGTTTGTTTGTATGCTCATATGTTCCAGGCATTGCTGGAATAGGCACCATCTTTTCAGATCCTTTCTGCTTAACCAACATTGCCCTGTTCTTCTGTGTTTTCATTTTCATTTCTCAGTTCAGTACATTTTATTCCTCAATGATAGTCTTTGCAACTTGGGGGCCACTTTGAACTATCATTGATGAACACTGAAGTGCTGATCCTTTTATTAATCTCAGGCCTGTCAGAGTTTTCATCTTAAGTAGCCTTGTTCTTTATACTCTTCATCAATCTTTCTTTCCAACTTCCAGAGACCATTATCCAGTTTATCTTGCAAATGTCACATTGTTATTGCATGCCAGAAAGTTGATTGCATAGCTGCTGTTGGACTCCTTCCCTGCCAATGCTGGAAATATAACCCTGGGTGCAATTGGACACATTATGATACAGTTTTCATGTGCAATCTCTGTGCATGACTTCATCCCCATTGATTCCCCATACCTGAACCGCAGTTGGAAAAAGAACATCTCTCTGCCTTGTGGTGGTTTATGCCTCACAGAAATATTGTAAAGCAGGAGGCCAACATTTATGTTTAAAAACGTCTTCTGAGTTGGGGTAGCTAAGTACCCCAGTGCCTATGGAAGGGATAATACTGGAGGGGGGGGAGTAAGAATCTTCAGCCCATTTTCATTTTTTTTTTTAATGGAGAGGGCTTTTAAATAAAAAAAAGTGTATTAAATGAATGATGTAATTATTCCACTGTAATTTTCAAGTTCTGCCTCCCAAATGAGTCCACCAAAAAACTAGGATGGCTAGATGGCTCTCAGATCACAAACCAATTTTGTCAGCTTTAGAGTAAAACAAAATTAGACATAAAATGAATATTTAATACATTTTAAATAGACTAGATAATTTGCTTATACCTGTTAAATATGCCCTACTGGGGCTTCTCCATCTACTGTCTCAATATTGTAATATCTATAATAGTGAAGTGGAGTTTTTTTGGTATGAAAGATTATATTTTTACTTTTCCAATATCTGTAAATGATTTCCAAACAACTTGTATGGGGGAAAATAAAAATAAATGCAATAGGTCAATTAATCATTATGATGATCTTCAGGTCTTCTTCCACTTCAGTTGTTTTAACAATCAAAACTATACTTTTGACACAAAAACAGAACCTTGTGGAATTCAATGTTTCTTTGGACAAGCTCCCAAAACCTGGACTTAACTCAAGGGAAGACAGATGAGCAACTGATCTTGAGAGATGCATTGTCCTCATTGCTATTATAACTGGTAGCCATTCCTAATCTTATCTAAACTCAGAAGGTTAACTATCAAAACTGCTACTATTTCAGATGCAAAAGGCTCTGTAGAGCAGAAGCCAGACATCTAAGCCCTCATTTTACTTCTTCCATCCCATTGGAAAGATCTTTCAATAACACTGTCCCATGCAAGATTTTTAATTATAATGGAAGTGATAGAATAACAGGCCACACAGTGTCATGCTTCAGTCCAGCACCAGTGTAAATCACAATTCTCCAGATGATTAACCCATTATTCAGGAACTGGCTTATTGGTGGTAGATTCTCAGACATGATTTAGCTACTATGGATACTTTAATACAGACCAGAAAGGAAGCCGACTACAATAGAAGATCTGCCTAATGCATTCAGTGCCTATATACTGTATACATCAGGGCATCAGGGTTTAAATTTTACGCTTTTTCCTCCTGCCTTAAAGTTTACAGATATTCGCTTCAAGGTCATAAAAGACAGCTGGGATGTGTTAACCTAAGAGTTCTCAGTTCTGGTCCTTGCTATGCGTGCTTCATTCCTAACACATCGTGAAATTTGTTTTGTGTATTTTCCCCTTAAACTAGTCTTTTCCCCCTTTTCTTTCTTAATCAATTAAAAAAAAAAAAAGACCTGCTTAATGATATAGCGGGAGTTAAATCTGGCTCTTTATTTGCTGTTAGGGTCATCAAGGAGTTTTCTTGATGCTAAAAATACTTTTTCTAATAACCCAGAAAATCTTCAGGTTTTAACCTGTCCAATCATATTTCACCATGTCAGTATTTCTTTCTCCTCTGCAACTTTGAAGAATCCAAATGGAATGCTAAATGAACAGGCTTAAGAATCTAGGACCTTCTACTATCATTGGCATTCATTTCTCCCTTGACAGGCTTAAGGAAGGGGGGAAAAACGCTCACAGTATTCAGGTGAAGCTATGTGGGAAATAGTGTGAGAACACCTGTTTTGGCATCAGTAGATGTTAGATGCATACCAGATTAGTTGCTAGGCAGTTGCAGAGGATTTTTAGATCTCCCCCAATACCTTTGCAGAAAAATGTTAGTAAGGTATTATCATCTTGCCTGTTATATGTTTGAGTAGTTTTGAGCAGTCTGATATCCTATTATGCCTGAAGAAATGTGTAATATAAGGAGGTTATAAACTATATTTGCAAGTGTATTACTGTTGAAGGGCATTGTTTTGATACACAATTTTACACTCTCTCATAATGTGTGGGCATGCAT